GCTGTCAGTCTATTCTTAAACCGCAAGTCAGGTAGCTCTTAATCCCCTTTCCTTTTTCTGCCCAACCTCCCACCCCCTTATACTCTGGCAATCATCAGTTTGTTCTCTGTATCTACCAGTTTGTTTCCTTTTCATTTTGTTCGTTGATTTATTTCATTTTTTAGATTCCACATAAAAGTGAAATTACATGGGATTTGTCTTTTTCTGGTCCAACTATGTTCATTTAACATAATACTCTCTAGCTCCATCTATGTTGTCACAAATGGCAAGATCCCATTCTTTTTTACGGCCGAGTAATATCCCATTCAATGTAACTTGTTTTTACACTTGCAAGATCAGTTAAAAACATAGATAATTTAAGTCAACAAAGAACACAGGCAGGACATTGTGTATACTGTTTTTCATTGTAAATGTGGCAACTAGCACCGCGCCCGGCATGTATAGAGTCAATAAACATCTACTGAATAAATTTGTGAAAAAATGAATTTGAAACATTAACAGGAATGGTTTACAAACATCTTAATGATCGGTTTTGCTGTAGTGGTCAGTGGAAGCAGGCAATGAGGTGATGGGAGTCTTGATTTCAATATCTTATTTGAAATTTGATTCCCCATCCATAGCTTAACTGTAAAAAAAAAAAAGCCTTTATATCAACTTCACTTTGCTGAGGCAAATAATACAGCTTTATATTAGAAATACATATTTTGCTACAGGACTTTTTGTAATTCAAAGGAGATTTTAAAAATTAAAAGTAGCCTGAAAAGTTTATTATGCAAAATTATGTAATGGTAAATGTATATATATTTAAACTCCTGTAGCTAAGACCTATGCTGCTTATTGGCTCTGCTATAAAGATGCTTCGTATGTGACTTTCGAGACAGAGATGCACTGCACAGGGTCACGATCTTCTCAAGAAGAGTGACAGGCACAGTCGAACCCTCAAGAAGAAACCAAATCTCCAGATGAAAAAACTCACTGAAATGTTTGTTTCAAATGGGTCTGCTCCATTGTAGCTGGAGGAATTTTTTAGACAAAACATTAAATTAGAAGTCAATTAAGAAAGCCAAAACAGTCTGACTGCCTTTACCCCTGTCTTAGCTCGGGATTTAGAGTGACTGAGTGACTGCGAGTAGTGTGTGGGCCCCCAGACTGTGAACATTTCTACCCATGTGACAGTTAGGTGACCTTTGAAAAATCCAGAACCTGAACAGCCATCTTTTATCTTAAGAAAGAACTTCTAAACATGACTCTCGAGGAAGAAAAGAGAAAGCTTTTAGATTAACTAATTTTAGAAGATGGTATTAGTGGGCTTTCACTCATATGAAGACTCACTCATATGAGGGAGAATGGCCGTAGGTTTCATTCACTGCGGGCCGGTGTGTGTACGAGCCACACCAATAAAAAAAGGATGCTTTTTTCTTTATTCTCTTTGACACTGCCAGGGAAAAAATAGGTTACATAATGCAGTGTACTTAAACCTAACTGCCAAAATTAAAAGCAATACCAGCTATCTCTAGTTCAGAAAAATGGATTTTTGGATGTGTGTGTGAAACATGTAGAAGTCAGGTCAAAGTATAATGTATTATGTATTTATTTTTAAATGTTTTCAAATGCATTTTAAGAAAAAAATTTCTGACGCAGGGTAAATATACATGCTGGGCTTTTTTTTTTACCTTCAACTTAGGACATTTTTCCCCACTGCTTTTAGAGACAGAGAAAGGCAGACAGGAAGGGAGAGAAGTATCCATCAGTTGCCTCCCGTAAACACCCAGACTGGGGATCATACACTGCACACTGGGAATTGTAGGCGTCTAGACCGTACCTGGTCCAGGAACTATCCTGCAACCTAAGCACGTGCTGTGAACAGGAATTGAACCCACATTCTTTTGGTTACAGACCACGCTCCAACCAACTGAGCAACACTGGCTGGGGCCCTGCTACTTTTTAAAATGAAACTTCCTACACCTTTCTAAAATGCTTATCCTTTTACATAGCAGAAAACATTCCAAGGGGCTATAGCCTTCATTTTGAAATAAAACTTTGGGGTTATCTAACCAAATTAAAGAACATTTACCTATATTTTTGGGACCATAAGATACACCTAAAATTTAGAGGAGGAAAATAGGAAAAAATTTGAAGCAAAAAACGTGGTAAAATATTTAATAACATAAATAACATGATATTTCACCTATGTAAATGTAAACAGAACTCAACAGCAGCATCAACAACCATTATTCCTCCCAAATTTGGGGGGGAAAGATGCGTCTTATAGTCTGAAAAATAAGGTAAGCCCTTTAACGAGCAACTATAGACAAATCTAGATTTGAATTGTAAGAAACTATTTTTAATTAAAAAATAGGAACAATAAATGTGCTCTTCTAAAGTGATGTCAGTGTCAACCTTGGCCTAGATGTGGGCTGTAGATTATAGGATGAGAAAAAACCATAGGCAGCGGTTCCTTAAAACACCTCCTTCCAGCCTGCTAAAGATCACATCCAGGGAATCGCCAGTAGCCACCTGGCCGTTCCAAATATATACCTTCATGGCCCCCAAATAAAGAGCCTCATTGATTGAACTACACCTGAATGTAAACTGTCATACATAAAGTAAATGTGCTGTTGGAAATGCTCTGGAACTGGTTGGCTTCTATTGTCCGTCCTTTGCATAAACAATATTCCGTGTGGCCCTATTAACAGATCTGTGTAGATTGCCTTCCAGTGTCCGGGCTTCCAGCTGGTGCTGTGATCTACACTGCAGAGAAAAGTTTGGCATTATTAGAAAAAGCGAGGACTTTTAATTCCAGTATAGAACATCTTGGTCTGATATAAAAATATATCATATATAGCAGGTCTTCAAATAACATTGCTTTGTTCAATGTTTCATCATAATGTTGATGAGGGGAAAAGATCAATTCCTGGCCCAGGTCTCTGTCTGTGTCGAGTCTGCCATTGTCCCCTGTCTGTGTGGGTTTTCTCTGGGGATTCTAGTTCCCTCTCACATCCCAAAGATATGACCATGAAACGAACTGACCCGTTGAATTGTCCCAAGGCCTCCTTCACCCTGAACTACCATAAGCGGGGTGGAAAAGTATTCTCTTACTTGTTTTCATTAATGTTCCTTAATAAAACTTTCTGTCTTTCTGTGTTTAATATTAGAAATATTTGGCTCTTTATGTAAAAGTTTGGTGTTTTTTGATAAAAAATATGTTGTATGAACTTAACTTGTGTTTGTATCAATTAGCCTATGGTAACATTGGTGTCCTCATACACCAGTTCACTTAAATCCTCTGTGTCCAAGAATGATGCTAAGTGAGGACTTTTACTTTATATATATTTAATGTTTCAATATATAGGTACCAGATATTTGATGCTTATATTTTAAATGTATATATTTAATATAGAATATATACATTTAATATACATTTAATATTCATATAAATATATATTTAATATATGTGTGTGTAGATTTTTCTAAGCCCAGGATTTTCTTTATAATTACATTTTTTAAAGATTCTATTTATTTATCTTTAGAGGGGAAGGGAAGGAGAGAGGGAAAGAAATATCAATGTATGGTTGCCTCTTGTGTGTCCCCTTCTGGGAACTGGCCTGCAACCCAGGCATGTGCCCTGACTGGGAATCAAACTATGGTTGCTTGGTTCTCAGGCCCGTGCTCAATTCACTGAGCTACACCAGCCATGGCAAAGCCCAGGATTTTTATACAAATTGTGCTCCCTGAAATTGTGAAACCTGGTGGTCTGGTTTACAATAGGAATTCTAATTGTTTTGAGGGTTATGAACTCTTGTGTTTGGTGAAAACCACAGATCTTTCCTTAGAAAAACATTTTGATTCTCACAATAGCCCTATGTGTGTAAAGACTGTGGATACAAAGAGCTTAAAGCTAAGACCTCAACTGACAGAACTGGGAACCCATACTCAGGCTCTTCCCCCATGTCATATTCTTTTAGCCATTTCAGAGCACGTTCTGGCCTACTTTGTCAGCCTCATTTCTTGTTCCTTGTCTTTTGCATCCTAAGTGGAAGTCACACTGAAGTAGTGTCATGCTGACCTGTGAACACACTGTTCCAGCTCTGCTCCCTGAAAACCCTTCATTACCTGACTACTCACTGCTGGAAGATTGAGTTCAGATGTCACCTTTTCTAGGAAGACTTTTGAGCCCTCTTGCCTGCTACCTCTATCCTTTTAGACTCCTTTCCTTTACCCTCGCATTGTACCCTCTGCCTACTGCCGTCATAATTCCATTTTATTTATCAAGCTGCACTGTGATGGATGTTGGCTTGTCTGCTTCTTCTACTATTTCTACTGCTTCAAAGGCAGATATTGTGCGTGTGTATGGGGGAGACAGAGAGAGGTCAGTATTTGCCTGAAGTGTTGCTAATGATTCAAAAAGCAATTTTTTTCTTCCTGGCATCAGATATACTCTTCTGTATCACTGCATGAAGATATATTTTTTACTAAAAGAACTCTAACACATGCAATATTAATAGGCCCATATGTTACCCCCGCTCAGTAGCATGAATCCTACTGATAACACTGAAAAAACATATTCTCATTTCAAAGGAATAACATGACCACATTTCTCTGAACATGAATTCATATTTTATTAGGCAATTATTCCTGAGTAATATAGTTCTATTTTCTTGATGGCTTAAAAGAGGAAAATCTCATAAGCTAATTTTTAACTACAAATTTAAAAGTAGTTTAAAATCAGTAACAGAATTTAAATATATTGAGTTTCTGTTATGTTTATATACATTGATATTATTTTACTAAGTACATAGTAGACAGAAATAAGTGTACAAAGATGACTAAGTAGGGCTATAGAAACAAAATAATTTTAAAGTGACTTTAAAAAAAGCAAATCTTTCTTTACAAAATAAAATGTAGTAGGAGGGCAATGGTTGATGGAATTCTTTTTTTTTAAATAGTATAAGACCTCTTAGTATTATACACTAAAAATACTCTATATTTTTATTCCCCAGACCAAATTTACAGATGACTGCAAGTTCAGGGAGCGATTTCAAGAGAACAGCTATAATACCTATGCCTCAGCAATACACAGAACTGAAAAAACAGGACGTGAGTGGTACGTGGCCCTGAACAAGAGAGGAAAAGCGAAACGGGGCTGCAGCCCCCGGGTGAAACCCCAGCACGTCTCTACCCACTTCCTGCCCAGATTCAAGCAGTCGGAGCAACCAGAACTCTCTTTCACAGTTACTGTTCCTGAGAAGAAAAAGCCACCTGGACCTATCAAGCCAAAGGTTCCCCTTTCTGCGCCCCGGAAGAGTCCCAACACAGTGAAATACAGACTGAAGTTTCGGTTCGGATAATGTTCAACTTGGCCTTGTGAGAAAGCACACTTTCCCCTCAGGAGTTTCCGTAGGAGTCTTTACGGATCTGAAGAAACATTTTTGGACATAGCTTCAGCTCTACTACACTGTAGTGAAGTCAGGTCATTTGTTTCGGTGTGACTGAAACAAAAATGTTTTCTGATAGGAACTGAACTGGAATTCTTTGTATAAACACAGGGAGCACCCTGCTTCAGTTCAGTGAGACATGAAGCCTTTATGCTCAGTGCATACCAGGACTCTGTGTTTTCAAAGAGTTAAACAGCGTGGACTGTGTATTTCTCTGACTTTTACACATCAACCCAAAAGAAAACACATGATACGTTTTTATTTTTGGTTTCCAAAGAATATTTTGATGCAGATAAAATATTTTATTAACTTTTGGTGGGGTTTATTTTGTTTGTTTTTTTTAAAAAAGTACCTCTGCATTGAGCATATTTTCTTACTTTTATTATTTTAATTAATATGACATGAACAATCATTTTAATGAATTATAAATGTTTATAACCCATGTGTAACATGTGCATTTCTTTTCCATTTTTCTTACTCATTGCACTTTTTATTTTTATTATAATTATTTCTATCATACCTCAGATAATGTAAGTTTAGTTTTACATCTTAAAATTTTTAAATTTTCTTCAATACACCAAAGGCTCAGATTTGTGTGTGTGTGTGTGTGTGTGTGTGTGTAAATTCATGATATGAAATCGTACCTCTTTTGTGGCTGAGTTGTAATGGGTTAGAAGTCAGAGGACAATATAAGGACTTTCTGATGGGACTAAAAGTTGGAGAAAAGGAAGAGGATCAGAGGTACGAGTATAATAAGTTTACAGCGTTTATTGATAATCTCATTCTGCCTTGCTTTTATTTCTCCTTTTATCAATCCCTGCCCTCATTCTTGAGCAGCTAGAGAAAAACATTGTATTCTGTCACTCGAGCATACACTATGAGATTGGAGTACTTAAAATACCTCTACCATGACCCTCTGCTATTCCCACTGTATAGATCTGTGGGGAGCAACCCACTTACTGAGAACATGTGGAGAACCGAAGGACGTGACCCATGTTGAGTCCCAGTCTGAAAAACATTCTTAATTCTCAGTAGAACACCCTTTGAGTTTCCTGTCCAAATGGAAACCACTCCAGTGAGTAGATTTGTCCTTTTATAAGGATACTTTCTGATGTATATTTTTAAAAAGCTGATATGTGATATGGAGAACTTAATTTGAGAATTCAATGAGCTGAAAATGGCATTTAATACTAAATGTTGGGCATAAATCAGAAGATTTCACTTAAGAGAATTTACATTATTTATTTATTTTCTTAGATAATAATTTTTATGGAGTTCTATGAAATACAAGCGTTTATCTTCCAAAATGTCACAATGAAAAAGGTATAGCTAATGTTTAGGAGCATGTCTTTAATAGGAAGAGGAAGAGTTCACAGAAGGTTTGTGTTTGTTTTAAAGCATACTGATAATGTTTTTTTAAAAAGTATACTTTGTTTTGGTGCACAATCACCAAATGGAAAGTTGTCAAAATTAAATTTACTACCCCTTAAGCAGATTGCTTTGTTTTAATAAAAGCAAACAAGACCCCTATATGTATAAGTAATTATATACAAAATCTATCCATCAAGTAAAACATAATGCATATACTCCAGTGTTTTATCATAAAGCTAATAATATAACATTTCTGCATTTAATGCATGATTTTTAAAAGTATAAAATGAGAGCCCTGGCTGGTGTAGCTCAGTGGATTGAGCGCGAGCCTCAGAACCAGACAATCAAGGTTCGATTCCCAGCCAGGGCACATGCCTGGGTGGCAGGCTGGTTCCCTGCAGGCCACTTCCCAGCAGGGGACCCACAAAAGGCAGCCATACATTGATGTTTCTTTCCCCCTCTTCTTCCCTTCCCCTCTAAAGATAAATAAATTAAAAAATCTTTTAAAAAAAGTATAAAATGAAATACCAAACTTCGTATTAAAATTCTCCTGGGTTAAATGAAACAATGAAGTTTTACAAACAAAGATACGTCCAACTCTTATTCAATTGCCATCTCACCTTATATCATGGTATAAAGCTAAAGTAGCCCTGGCTGGTGTAGTTCAGTGGATAGAGCACGGGTCTATGAAGCAAAGGGTTGCTGGTTTGATTCCCAATCAGGGCACATGCCTGGGTTGCTGGCCAGGTCCCCAGTAGGGGACACAAGAGAGGCAACCACACATGGATGTTTCTCTCCCACTCTTTCTCCTTTCCTTCCCCTCTCTCTAAAAATAAATTAAAAAAATATTTTTAAAAAGCTAAAATTAATCCTCTAGTTTATTCTAATATATTGTTAAGAATTGTACGTTGTATATCAACTTCTTGGTACAAATAAAAATGAAAAGTTGCAGAACAGGATAACAGTAAGCATGTGCTCCTAAATGGGCAAGGAAAAGATGATATTGATGATGATTAACAACAAACTAAATTAATGCATATATTGTATTAGGCTAATGCTGCTGATAGTTTATTTTAACTAAAAATAATAGCTTGTCTTGTACTCTTAGTTTAATTTGATTAGTATATGAATGTTAAAGGAAGGTAGCTACCACATATATATTATGCAAGTTAAGACTCATTAATTTCACATTTTAAAGCCAGGCTAAAATTTTAAAACACTACCTTTAAATTACACTTATCTTTAATTTACTGGCCATACATAATTACATTTAATTAAAGCTCACTGAAGCAAAAAGTTACCTAAATTAATTAATTGAATGAACTTGTCAACTACAGAAAACATGTAGGGTATAAATATAATTCCTTACTAATACCTAGAACTTTCTAAGGGGATGCTTGCTTACACAGTTTCCAATGATTTTTTTAAAGTAATTGGACCTATCTAACATCAAGTAAAGTTGTTTAACTGGGATTATGTTCATTGAGAAAAATAAATTTTACATTAAAATTTAGAAACCTAATTTGCCTAGAAAATAAATGACAGATACGTTCACACCGATGTTTCAGTTTAATTATACATGTTTAAGAAATTCTTTATTTGGAACATCAGTAGAGGTAAACAGAGATTTCCAATAAGATGCCATAACACCACGGATTTGTCTCAGAAAACATCCCATCGCTGCCTCCTGCAGAAACTAGTTTGAGAGTGTGGGTGTATATAAGTTACCTGAGTTCCTTTTGCCAAGTTAGGAGGCCCAGCAGTTCAAAATCACATGACAACAGCAGAGGATACCAACAAGAGTATTTCCAAATTTAATAATCATATCATCTCAGATGCATTTATTTTATGTAATTGAAAATAAAACCATACATCTGTTCAGTAAGTTTTCTGTAAAATTGACCTTGAAACAAAAAACTGAAGAATTTTCTTACTTTAATAGTTTTTACCCTTCCAAAGGAGTCAGGAGCTAGGTCATCACTACCCATATTTTCGATAACAAAATAAACATATTGCATTAACCCAATAATTGAATTCTGGCACCATTTTTATAGTTGCAGAAAATTGCTCAGTTAATGTTAAAAAGAAAAACGATATTATAGACATTGCTGTAATGGGAAGCAAACAAAAATAACTTGTCAAGGGAATTCTACACTGCCTTTGATATTTCACTTATACATCTAAATTTTAATCACATGAAATCAAATTTTAAGCCAATTGATCTTTTTAAACTTTTTGAAACAAATTTTCAGGTAAATGAACATGACATATTTTTCTTTTAGAAGCCAGTTCATCTGCATGGCCCCGTGTTTGAAATTAGATTATCAGATGATTAGGTGTCAGTCAAAGAAGTTACCTGCTGCATCCGCCTGTGGGAGAAAAGGGAGAGAAACCCAGCCTGAGCTGAGTTGGTGAAGTCATTTTTACATCTAAGGCTCATTTCCAACATTCAGACACACCGTCAGACAACTGTGTGATGAATCCTCCCTCAGTATTTTAACAACTTTGTGTAATAAAAATATTAGATTAGATATCAAGGGTTCTCACTTTTTATTTTCTTGTGTTTTGTCCTAATCCTGCCACATAATGGTCACAGGTCACTTTCTAGGCCTTGTTTTGTCCTTCACCATGTGATGGGTCTGCGAGGTCATTCCCAGGTTTGTCCTCAGTGGCTGCAACCTCAGCTGTGAGTCAGGGAATGTTGAGGCGCTCAAAATAGGACATGGTTCTTCTTCAGGTAAAACTGGATAATCCTACGGAAAAACAGTCAATGAATTAATAAGCATATTCTTAAAGCCTTGTCTTAGATTTAAAAAATTAGATAAATGTGAGATTGGATCAAAAGATTTTAAAAATGGGAACCAATTCTGGGCTTCATGCTTTATGAGGGACTTTATATATTTAAATTAATCTGGAAGGGAATGGTCAGAATGTTATCGTTGTTGATAACAGTTCTAGAACCTTAATTAAACATGAAATTTCAGAACATCTCTGTTTTGACTGAAATCTCACTTTCTCCATGAAGCCTTCTAAAACTTTATGAGGAAATATTAGTAAGCTCATCATGACACTCTCCAAATAAGTATAGCTAGTAACATAACTTTCTACCATCATTCCCTTACTTTCCCCAATAATTCAGAATTTTCTGAGTTCTTGTTCTGCACAAGGCACTCAGCTAGTGAAACATTTCTTTATTTGCTCAATACTTGTTCAGTTCATTCCTTGTGATGTTAACATCAATGTACTCTCAGATTTTGAACTTCTGGAGGGAATATGGCTGTCCTCATTGAACACTGTCCAAACCAGGGTCACACTTATAAAGGGAACTTATGATGTGCTCTTAGCTGACAGCAATTTTGAATGTGTTCCTCTGACTTAAATACTTTGTAGAAGCTACAGGGTATGCTACTAATTCACAGAACTGGGCATCTAATTATTGATTCCTGTAATATTTCAGGTGCTCAAAAATGCTTGTAGGATGTATATAAGTGATGAATAAGATTTGTTTGAAAATGATGATTATGTTTAAGAGAATTTCATGGAATACGAAAAGGCTCCCTCAACAAGAGTGAGAACACCACATAACACCCTCACTGTATTTGGACTTGTCAAATGCAAACTCTGAGTCAAAATTGAAAAATATAAGGCACTGATATTCTTGCAAGCTGCATTTAAGTATCAATAAATTAGTACTCATATGAAGCTTCAAGTTCATTGGCAACCTTAAAAATAGATGACTATGCAAATTCTATACATAGGACTATGATGATTTTGCTATTTGTAGGCCAAACATGCAGTCCACTGGGAAAGTGAAGATTTTTTTTTGGTAATTTGTTTCTAGATGTGTTTTTTCTCTTTTCTCAGATAAACT